GATACATTCCATGCTGTTTTGAAAGATGCACAGTTATACATTGTTAGCAAGATTTACATAAACCAGCCACAGCTCAAATCAAAATGCTGCAGAGCTGAGCAGGCTCACCTTACCTGGACTATGAATTGCCAGAAAGAGTAACCCCCTGCCAAGTAATAAACTAACACACAATTAAGCCAATCTACATCAAAGCATGTTCAGCCTCTAGCAAGTCACTGCATTCCTTGCCAGAATAAAAATGAACTGGGTTAAAGCAAATAATGTTGCACAGTTCAGTGAAATTACATTTCTGTCTCTTGAGTGCAGGTGACAAAGGCATCCCGGGCACACAAGTAAAACCCAACCTTTGATCCTTTAGTTCTGCTCTTTCTGACCACAATGGTGATGCCTGCCACCATCACACATTTATATCCCAACCCTTTCTCTTAAGGGATTTGTCCCCAGGGAAGGGCTGTAGCTCAGAGGTCGAGCCCTGCAGGCAGCAGGTCTTGGGTTCAACCCCTGGCCTCTCCAGGCAAGGGCTGGGAGAGTTTCCCTGCCTGAAGCCCTTCAGAAAAGCTGCCAGCCAGTTTAGACATCACTGAGCTAGGTGGGACCAACTGTCTGACTGCATTCAAGGCAGCTTCCTATGTTCCAGAGATTAATGTTGAGCTGCAGGAACACAACAGGAAAGTCTCCAAGGACAGTTCATAGCTGCACTCACAAGGAGAGTCCAAAAATGCAGGCAGCTGTGTTGATTCACAGAGAACAACTACACTGACAACCCGGATGAGCCATGCGGCATGACAGCACTCTTGTGCATAGTTACGCAGGAGTAAACTCCCTTGAACTCAGAGGAAGTTACCCCCAAGTGCAGGGGTCAGCAACCTTTTTCAGCTGTGGGCCAGGCCACCGTCCCTCAAACCTTGTGGGGGCTGGACTATATTTTGAAAAAAAGTATGAACGAATTCCTATGCCCCACAAATAACCCAGAGATGCATTTTAAAGAAAAGCACACATTCTACTCATGTAAAAACACCAGGCAGGTCCCACAAATAACCCAGAGATGCAATTTAAATAAAAGGACGCATTCTACTCATGTAAAAACACGCTGATTCCCAGCCTGTCCACGGGCTGGACTGAGAAGGCAATTGGGCCGCATCCAGCCCACAGGCCTTAGGTTGCCTACCCCTGCCCAAGTGCATAGGTTTGAGTTGTTAAACACAGAGCTTTAACAAAAGATCTTCCACCAGATGAAATGCAGCATTTAGCTTTCTGCTAGTAACATAAACTATCATATCTTAAAAAGAATCACTACTATTTAAACTGCTTATGTGAAGTAGAAACCCTGCCAAGAGAAAGAAGCACAAGGCCTCTGCTTGAATATTTTCTTCATTCCCCATGTAATTAGTTTTATTGTGAAAACTATTAGCCACTCTTTGTTGTAAAAAAAAAAAGGATATCATAGAAGGATACATTTACACAATATCATCACATTCCAATGACTTATAAAACAGGCGGGGCAAAGATGTCAACAGCCATATTAATAATGGTACCATAAAGCAAGGAGGCTCAGAAGGAGCCAGGGGGCACCACCACCTTTCCCTCTATATGTTAATTTGTGACCAACTAAAACCTGAAAGCCTCATTATCACCTCATCCACATGCCAGAGCAAGGTGTTCCAGCAAGATGGTGGCATTTTGCTCCTCCTCTGAAATCATCCTAGAAGCTACACTTGCCTGCTCTCCTTTTCCAGCTCCACTACACCACTTCTCACAACAACCTTGTGAGGCATCTCCAGGTAAGGTTGGGAAAGACCCTGTCTGAAACCCTGGAAAGCTGCTTTCACGCAGGACTGAGCCAGAGCGACCAAACTTTCTGACTTGGTACAAGGCAGGCTGCTATAAACTATAATTCTAGGTTAGCTTGACAAGTAACAACTTGGCCAGAGCTACTTAGTGGTCTTCATAGCTGAGCAGTGAGTCCTGTTCCAAGTCTCACACTCTACCCATTACACCACATTGGCTTGTGACTCGTCTGGTATGTTCTGCATTCCATAAAGAAGACACAAACACACACACACACAGAGAGAGAGAGAGAGAGAGAGAATGGAGGCAAAAATGCCTATTCCACCCAAATTGGAAGATTGTCCTGCATAGCGGCAGACCTGTCAGCCGCAGGCCTTCGCCACACCCCCCAGGAACTTTTTCTCTCTCCCCCTTGTTCTTCAGATAATCTCCCTGTGCAACATCCTAAACTCTGAACAGTTTTACAGCTGTCGAGTCGCTAATGGGAACTTCATCTGTGTGTACCCAGCACAAGTGCTGTCAGGAAGAAACCAAATGTCAACCTGAGGTATGCAGCAGTAGCCATAAATATTCCTTTGAACATTTACCATCTGGAACAGTAGATTCTGCTTCGACAGAGAGCTTGGACTAGCCGGAGGGCATTGTCTTTTCTTTTTAAAGATAGTCCCCCGTCAGGTCAAGTGATGCGAGAACAGAATTTAGATCCCTGCTCAGTTTCTCTCCCTCCACCTCTTGGCACCCAGAAGTTTTCAAGGACATTAAAGTCACTAAGCTTGCAATCCTTCCTCACAAATTCTATCCAACTCAGCGGGACTTACTTCTGAAGTAAATATGCACAGAATCAGGTGGTAGGTCAGTTACCTAAAATACAGCTCCACAGCAGGAAGCAATTAGACTGACACCGCTTTGCGTGTTTATATTCTTGACACCACACCGCTGCACCTTGCCTTGTACCATATTGTATATCTTTGTGGAGACAAGGTGGCTTACAGAACAAGCCTCACCAGCCACATTTCTCCAGATATGAAAGGGCAGCTGGAGCTGTTCAGCCCATGGAAGTTTTAACCCCCATTTGCAAGCGTTCTCTTTTTCTGCCTTTAAAAGTATCTGGGAAAGTTTCCACCTCTCCTTAGGAGCTTTGTGTGGAGAGAGAGAATCAAAACACTCCCATTTTAGTCATTTCATTTAACTAATTAGCAGTTTGCCAATACCCTTATTTGATACTGCTGGAGGGGTTATTTGGGAAAAAACGATGCTTTCTTGGAGAGGGTGTATAATCTGTAAGCCAGCCAAGCAGACGAGGAATGCTAAATGTATGCATTTAACTTGAAAAGTTTTCGGGGTGATGTTATCCAAAGCACGCATCCTCCATCATAACCCCCCGACATTCCTCAGATCTTATTCCAGAAAGGATTAGGCATAGTATCACTTAGAGAATCTCTCACCTGGAAAGGTTGAGGGCATAGCGAAACTCCCCCCACAGCCACCCACCCATGGGAGAGAATAACTTCTCGCAATTCTTACATTCCAACAAGGGATGCAAGAGTTATTGCCTGTGCGTATTTATTTATTTCAAGGCTAAACGCTGTTATTTGGTCACAGATTAACACAAACAAACAAAACAAAACCGGATGCCTCGAAATATATAAGAAACAGAGAGTCAACCATATCTAACCAACAAACTGCACATTCTACTTGAGCTGGCAAGTAACCTGTGCCAAAGGAGCCCAGAGAGCAGTTACAGGTCCCGATCCTCCATTTACCAAGGAAATCCCATTGAGTTCAATGGGTTTACTCCCAAAGCAAGGGGCATAACCGCTTTAAAGCCGGGAATCCTTCTAAGCAGCAATCCCCACATGTGGGGGTAGGAGACATGTTGGCGAAATCAGCTTCGAGGGGTAGCCCTGAAAGTCGTCGCATTAAACGCAGATTAAGGACCATTTATTTGCCCAAGTCTCTGCATCTTGTTCCTTCCCTGCAGATGTGTTTAAAAAAGGAAAAAAGAAAAGCCCCTTTCAATTTAATTAACACTTCGGAGAGGCTGTTTAGAATCTATAAATAAATACAGCTAGACTTTAATGATCCGTTATGGTGATGCTACTTAGTTTTCAGCGAGTCGTAAAACTTTCACAAACAGACCTGCAAATGAATTACATCCATCTGCTCCGCGCAGCTGCGAGGGCAGCTCCTCATCTCCACAGTGCTGGGCTGCTGCTCTCAGCTTGCTGCTGCTGCTGCTGCTGCTCGCCCTCCTCCCACCATCACCACCCTGGAAATCCAGCAGGCAGCTTTGCCAAGTCATCGACATACCCCAGCCCAGCCCAGCCCAGCCCTGCATTTGCCAAAAAGGAGCCCGTCCCGGGAAAAACAAAACAAAAACCAACTACACCGGAGACCTCTCCAAAAGAAGAACCTGACTTGCCTCTCTGAACCGGCCAAAGCACAAATTCCGCCCCGCTGTCTTTCTTGGCACCCGGTTCCCGAAGATAGCCGAGTTGCGTGCGGGCGCTTTCCAAGGACAAGAACACTGCCAAACTTTTTTGTTTTCCTTTTTTTTGTAGTTGAATGATCTACTACTACTGGCAGTGGTGGTGGGGAGAGATGTAAGACCCTGGCATCGCTCTAGGGCGCAACTAAAGCTTCTTCAGCATCAGAAATCTGGGGAGGGGAGGGGGGTCGAAAGCGTGCACGTGGGTGCGTAAAAGACACTCCCCCGCCGCAGTCCATCCCGTCCCCCACCCCACCTTCCCCGCAACACCACCTTCTCGAGCGTGACCTCAAAGTGCATCCAGAGTGTCAGGTCTGCGAGGGAAGGCAGGCATCAAGCTCTGCCCGCTGTTATCTGTCAGCTATACAATAGGAGCATTGATAAGACGGCCGCGACCGGCTTGGACCAAGTGCGCCGGGCTAGCATTCCATTCAAAAGCAGAGGAGAGAGAGAGAGAGAGAGAGAGAGAGAGAGAAGGGTGGCTGGGAAGAGAAAGGGAATCCTCCGGTGACTTTTGTCCCTTTTACCTGGACGATCTTCCCCTTCCTGCGTAAAAAGGGACCCTCTTCCGCGCTGCCCCCCCCCCGAGGTAAGAGCGCGCCCGCGCGCCAAGGCGCCACCTCTCTGGCTGCTTCCTTTGCGCAGCCCGAGGAGACCACCCCGCTCCGCCTGGGCCGCCCTCGGCTCGCCTAATCCCCACTCGAACGCGATGACACACACTAACCCCAACCATCTGTTGAAACACGTCCTCAAGCCCTCGGCGCGCCGCTGTGTCAAGACCGCGGGGGCTGCCCGAGCCAATCGCCGGCGCGGGGTGGCTCCGGAGGAAGCGCCGGTGAGGCAGCAGCGACGAAGACGGCGACGACGCTAGGCTCCAGGTCGGAGCGCGCACTTAAGCCCGGTAACCTGAGAGTTGCCGACAGAAAAAGGGCGGCTATTAAGAAATGCAGCAGCCGCAGGAGCAGGAGGCGAGGGGCGGGGTCAGCGGGGAAGGTAGAGGGGAGGGGAGGCCTCTTCGCCTCCGCCCCCTATTCTGGCTGGGGGGGGGAGAGAGGGTGGCTTTGCGGGGGGGGGCGGTCTTTAGCGCGCCTCCCAACTCCTTGCATTCCCAAAGGACCCTCAGCTGTGAGTGAGACGCACGGGAGAGAAATGCTAAAAGGGGGGGGGAGGACACCAAAGAAAAGCACATGGCAAGCCTGTTGGGAATCTCCAAAAGAAAGCAAAAAAAAGCCTTCCTCCTCAGCTAGAGGAAGAGATCAAAAGCTCCCGCTGGAGAACCTGAGCAAGTGCTAATGTGCGGGTCGTTTGCGCCGAAAGTGGAGCAATTCGCATCTTGAAATCCTAACGCCACCTTCTCGGGACGGTCTGGAGAGAGAGGGGAGAGACGGCGAGAAGAGCCGGGCTCTTTCTGATGCTAAGGGAGGCTTTGTCCTCTTTACGCGGGTGTAGATCCGCTGAGCTGCAGGCATTTCTCCAGCGCGGATCTCTGCATGTCTGGGTCCGCTGCCTGTGCAAACAAGTGGATTGTCTTTCAAGCCAAGGCGCAGCAGTGACCGAGGGGCAAAGCAGGGCGCCAGCAGAAGGGTTCCTATCAGAGCGACGCATCTGTGTAAATGCCCACATTCCCAGGGGGCAGTTTATGCCCAGGAAGCCCCAGCCCACTGAGCGAGAGTGCAATCCGATGCAGAACCAGCCTATTCGGAAGCCCCATTGAATTCAATAGTAAAAGTGTGCAAAGTTATTCACAGGTAAACATGCAAGAGTTCATGCTTCACTTAAGCAAGTTATCTCATTTAAACAACAACAACAACAACAACACACAATTGGCCAAATGAGGTATCTTGTATGATTCTCCTCACTCTTGATCAGGTCAGAAAATCTCTCTGAATTAGAGAGATGATTTAGCCGAGATAATTTTCCATTTAGGAGTGGCTTCTATCAACACAGATTTTACATCTGTCTGAGCTTTCCTACCTCTGTGACATCTGTCTTGTTTGTAAAGTGGACCTAATCATTAGGAGGGTGATACGAAGGCAAAGGAAATACATGCTGTAACTAATAAAAAAAACACAAAATCCTTATTTGCATGTTCTGTCAAATAAGCAAGTGTGGAAAGAAGAAGGGAAAGAAGTCTTTTGAGTCTTTAAAGATTCATTCTAAAGTGTCTGACTTGACACTTCGTTAAATCTGCATTTCACATGAGGACAGATGTTGGATTTCTTTGAACTGGGAAAGGAAATTCTAAAAAGAGAACTGTCATTAAAAGTGCAAAGCTCTAAACTGTAGAAAGACTTGCAAATATGATCTGTTTTAAGCGATGAGTTAAAAGAAAATGATCTGAAAGCCCAGAAACACTTATTCAGTTTGCTTCGTTTTTGAAATCAATACATGTTAATGGAAGATATGTTAGACCCACATTTCATAATAAAACATTAATTAAGAGAGGTATATTTTTGTGCCCAGTTGGTAAATGGGGAAAATAAATAGTTCCTCATTTCATTTGCTTCAAGTTCTTCCTAGAAGTGATTATATGGTGTCTGTTTCAGCCTATTAAACTGCAACCGCTTTCACAGATGCTGGTATTCAGCACAATACAATTCCCTAATCTTCTCAATCCAGGTAAACAAGGAGCAGGACAATATTTTCAATGATGGTAAGTGGCAAGGCCAGCTTAACCTATTATCCCTTGGGTATCATAAGAATTTAAATAGTGCCAATTAATGTTACAGGGCAAACTTTGTTTTCTCTCTCTCTTCCCGCCCCCCCCCCTTATTTCTTTCCCTACCAGACTGTGGTCTTGAAAGTCTCTGGATAACCTTGTCCATTTGGAAATCCCTGGAGGCATTCTGAGAGCTAGTTTGTTTTACATTCTCTTCGACTGTTCTCTGAGTACTAAGTAAAACCTAAGAAGCTGCAAAAGGACAGACCTAACAGTTTCACCCCTACCGTTTCAGTAACACCACATCAGAAGTGCATACTATTTGGAGACATGGGAAATCCAAAATATTGCAAACAGCTGTTAGAAAAGATAGCCAGTAGTGAATTAAGCAACAGAGACAGAACAGGTGAAAAAAGTTTACTGTTGCTTTGCATACTCAAGCACTTCAAATATGTTTTTTTTACGAACAGATGGTCAGCAGTTTGAGGACAGAGAAATGAAATTGTTGTGAGTTGTCCGCAGCCAAGGGACAGGGTGTAATATAAACAGTGATGATGTAAATACGATTAAATGGTAATATTAGTAAAGTGGAAATATTGTTTCTAAATTTGCTGTGGCACGTACACACTGACTATGTTTAAGTCCTCCTCCCCCCCCCCATGCTGGTTTTCCCTTGCTAGACTAAGGAGTCCCTAATTTTGTTAGTTTTTAATGGCAATATAAATTCAAACGTGTCCATGCAAGCATTAATGAAATACTGTACTAGCAAGCTGACCGTCGAAGGGTAGCAGTGTATATGGGTATGTGCTTTAGGAATGAATGAGACCGTGCATAATAAGTGGTCTTATTCTTCACCATCATGTTTGCTGCCTGTGACCCTTAATATTGGTCAAGGTGATTATTTTATGCTGCACTGCATTGGATACAGCAATTTTTCTTCATACACTGCCCTCTTCCTCTACACTAGTCCCACAACTTCCTCCCAAGTCTCCCCAATATTTTCAGCAGAATCTATTCATATATTCAGATGCCTGTCCTCTCTGGGAAAGGGAAGAGAAAACACATTTCCAGGAAGTTCAAGGATCCTTCATGAAGGTCGGAGCAGCAGGAACACATCTACCAGGCACAATGGAACTTCTCTTTGTACGTAAGAGAGATTTTAGAAGATATGGGTGTATATTACTAGATCATTGATAGATAATCCTCAAGTCCCAGTGATCTAAATCAATCACAAAATAATAATAAAAAATCCTTCCAGTAGCACCTTAGAGACCAACTAAGTTTGTTATTGGTATGAGCTTTCGTGTGCATGCACACTTCTACAGATACTTCAGACCAACATGGCTACCTAAAGGGAAAGGGAAAGGGACCCCTGACCCTTAGACCCCTGACCCTTAGGTCCAGTCGCAGACGACTCTGGGGTTGCGGTGCTCATCTCGCTTTGCTGGCCAAGGGAGCCAGGGTACAGCTTCCAGGTCATGTGACCAGCATGACTAAGCCGCTTCTGGCGAACCAGAGCAGCGCACGAAAACGCCGTTTACCTTCCTGCCGGAGCGGTACCTATTTATCTACTTGCACTTTGACGTGCTTTCGAACTGGTAGGTTGGCAGGAGCAGGGACCGAGCAACGGGAGCTCACTCCATTGCCGGGATTCGAACTGTCGACCTCCTGATTGGCAGGCCCTAGGTTTAGTGGTTACCTACCCATAACTAAATCAATCACTTCTACGTTCATCATTCTCTTATATTCTCTATTCAATTCTCTTATTTATAGCACCCCCTGAAGGCACTTCAGTAAACAAGGTCCTATATTATATGGATGGGAAAGCTGATATACACACAATTTTGTAAATATGTTTGGTTTTTTTAAAGAAAGAATGCTATTTTCTTAAGAATTAAATTAGAAACATTCATTTCCACAAAGGAAAGGTTTCCTGTAACATTTAAGCTGTTCTAATGAATGCCATTTTGGGAGAATTTAGGAGAATTTCAATTTCCCAGATGCTGTTGTACATTTTTTTTAAACTACACATCTCTTATAATCTGTAATAACCCCATCCCACTCCCTGTTTGCTGACTTCTTGCCCATTCCTCTCATGCTTTGGTTGATTACTAAACTCCAACCTGAGTTCAGTAATCAACCAAAGCATGAGAGAAATTGTCAGTTCCCCTTAAATTTAGGAAGAGTCATGGATCCATTTAAACCAGTCCTTCCATTGTCGATTGTGTGTGAATACTGCATCTTTGCGTGCTCTTGCATTTACTATAGAACCAGGATTGCCCTTACCAATAGGCAGAGTAAAGCAGCTGGGAAAGGCTGCAAGGTGATGAGCGATGGTGAGAATTTAGAGCACAGGGTTCACCTAAGGTAGCCCAAAGTTTTAGGACAGTGGTTCTCAAAGGATGTGACATGCCACACTGGTGTGCCAGGAGATTTCAAGGCCATTCAAGGAAATATTAAACATTTCAGTGTAATATAGTATAGTTTAGGGACACGGGTGGCGCTGTGGGTAAAAGCCTCAGCGCCTAGGGCTTGCCAATCGAAAGGTCGGCGGTTCGAATCCCCGCGGCGGGGTGCGCTCCCGTTGCTCGGTCCCAGCGCCTGCCAACCTAGCAGTTCGAAAGCACTCTCGGGTGCAAGTAGATAAATAGGGACCGCTTACTAGTGGGAAGCTAAACAGTGTTTCCGTGTGCGGCTCTGGCTCGCCAGATGCAGCTTGTCACGCTGGCCACATGACCCGGAAGTGTCTCCGGACAGCGCTGGCCCCCGGCCTCTTGAGTGAGATGGGTGCACAACCCTAGAGTCTGTCAAGACTGGCCCGTACGGGCAGGGGTACCTTTACCTTTACCTATTAATATTGTTTTATTTATTTGCAAAATATGGATATATATCTTTTCAAAATCTTTTCTGTTTGTTTTCCAGTGCATTTCTTATCAATAAAACGTTTAGTGTGGTGTAAGCAAATTTTTATTCTGAAAATATGGCTGAGAGTGAAAAGGTTTGAGAACCATTGTCTTAGGGCGACCCTGTATGGAACACAACTCAGCTTTCCAGGCCTGAAGAAGAACTCTGAGAATCTTGAAAGGTTGTTTGATCTCTCAACACATATTTGCACATTGTATCCAAACGAACGTTGGGTTTTCTCCTGTGAAGCTCGTATGAGGAATTGTTTTAGCAGTCTGCTCTGCTCAAACTACCCACCATAAATGTTAAAAGGAAAATGGAAATCCTAGCTAGGTCAGAATGACCTTGTTGAGATAAGATTTAGAACCAAATAAATAATGTGCTGCTGAAAAGA